AAGAAAGAAAGTTATACAAAAATAGAGAATGGTAAACGCCCAGAAGCAAAAGACAGATGGGTTAATTTAGATTAAGAAAAGCTGGCAAGAAGCAAGCCAAGCTAAGGCCTCACATTCATAATTAAGAATAAGCCTCTATGTGTGATTTATTTGGGAGCTGGGTGGCAGGCCCCCAAACAGACAAAAAGTAAGAAAACAAACAATAACAATTGCCTCTTAATCACCATGCTAAAGGAAATCTGTGTTCGTATCAATTGGGGGTGATTGAAGGAGGATGGGCAAACAATTTCATTGCTGTGAGACCCCCTTTCCATGGGGATCCAGACTAAATCCCTCAAGCTGAAGTTCAAGGCTACCTCTTCCCCCAAAATTCTTTCATGAATCCCTTGAGTCTTTCTCACTGGAAGCTGTTTGTGTGAAGGGCAGACCCTCTCTATGGCTGGTGGGGTAGGTTTTAAGGAGCATCATTTGCAGACTAGAGCAAAGAACAAACAGGCAGACTTGTCCCATCTTGTCTGCCTTTGCTGTCCATGACAGTCAGTGCTTGTCCAGTGGCTGAAATTACAGTGGCTTTTAAAAAGCGCTGGTGCCAAAATCTCCCTTGACAGTACATCTGTAACTACTAATAATGTTGTTTTGGGCAGACTCAGTTGCTTTGAAATTACACTGCACTGTTATAAGTAAATGAGAGGCAACCAATTATCTATAAATAAAGACATACACAGAGAATAATGTAATGAATTACAAATGATCTTGCCGATACAACACAGTGTGGAAACCTGTCCTGCTTTGCCTTCCCATTGAAGTTGAGAGGTGATGTTTCTCTCAGTTCCAGTGGGGAGGAGGAGAAGGCAGCACCATCCATACTGGTAAACATGTTGTTGAATTAAAATTAGAGAGGGGGCAAATCCAAATGTTAAATATCTACAGAGAGAATCATCACACTCCAGAAAAGAGGCAAGCTTAAGATAAGAGATGCAGATTCACTGTCACACGACAAAATCCATCCTGGATATCAGCTAAGTATGCAGGGAGCCAATGCATACATTCATCCAGGTAGAGAGGAGTCCAGTCTCATCAGGGATCTGTCAGGCAGGCATTGAGACAGCTATAGCATCACCAACCACTGAACTCCTGACTCACTGGACAGCAAAAGTAGTATCTGCTTTTCATGATTGCCCAAGAAATTGTGACCTATTTGTGTTCTGGTTGGACAAAGAGATAAAAAACTAGGCTAAATCACCATCTACCTGGCAGGGACATACAGGAGGACACTTAAAATTCCTCTATATGAGTAAGCTAATGTTGTTGCCTTGATGACTGCCAGAGGCTGAGCATGCATGTGTCGTTTGGGGGAATTTTTAACTATATGATACTAGATAGCTCTTGCCATGCTAAGAATTTAATCTGAGTTTTTGCATAAAGAAAACGTGGAGTGGGGTTTCTACTTTATAAGACAACTTTATGCACAGGAAGGTCCATTGCCTATAATACTCCTTTGTCCTGTAGATACAAGGTGTCATGGCTGTAGGTGTTTACATTCTCTGAAATTCTTTGAAGGCTAACATAGACCCTTAGGAAGCAGAACAGTCAAGAAATTCCTGGAAGCCAGTCTTCAAGGTGAAGCAACAATTTTGCATAGACCTAATCAGCCTGGGACACAGTAAGGTGTCTTGGATCCAGATGGCTAAGGAATGAGTCTGGTTTTCTCCCATGGACCTTATCTTCTCTACATTCTGGGACAAGTAGGTGTAGGGTCAGCTTACTCTTGAATTCTGATTATCACTGTTCATTTTCCAAAGGTGGGAATCATATTAAATCTCTCAGAGATTATTTTATTTCAATATTTCTAAATATATCAAGTAGAGAGTTTCAGGGTGTCAGTCTAGTGATGAAATTTATGCCAAAGAGTAACTGGCCTTGCTTTCTAGAAGATGGAATGGAACTCAGTCCTGGTAGTTGTAGCTGAGCAACTACAGAGAGGGGCATTTTAGAAGCACTGCCTCTCTTTTCTATTTATGCTTATACTTCCAATTCAAAACAGTGTTCTCTTTTATACTGAGGCTAAGATAAATGTACTGCAATGCAAAAAGTGAATCAAGGAAATAAAAAGTAAGCATACACAAAGATAAGAGAAATTGTGGGGAATTTATAGGGCAAGGGAGAGAGAAATGAGGTTAGATGAACACTGGATCCACCCAACGTCATATACTTGGGCACATGGTCAGATGGCAGAGAAACAAGGAAGGAGGGAAGCCTAGCAGGAATCAGCACTTGAACCAGCCTGCAAGTGGAGCAGTTGTGAAACTGGGGCCCCTTTGGTAGAGATGGGTGCTGGAGAACCAAGGAGTTCAGCAGCAGAGGAGAAAGTCCTTTTTCCAATGAAACCAGGGAGGCCACTAAGGGCGTAAAAAGACTCCTTGAGGGGTGATGTTGGGAGCTGGGACAGGAAATATGAAGTGGCTAGAACGGTGAGGGGTGGAACAACTAAGCCTGATGCCAGTGGTTTGAACTGTGTTGGCATTGTGAATATTGTCACTCCTACACCACGGAGCACAGGAAAGTCAACATGGCTGAGCTTGGGTTTTATAATAGGATTTTTTTATGCCTTCTCAGGAATGATTGATGACTGTCATCCCTCCCAGGTCCCCATCCTATCTCTGGTTCTGCCTCTTGGGAATTTCAAGATTTTGCAGAGTAGCAACAGAACAAGTCTTTCAAGTCATCCTGCCCAAGATGGATATGTTGCTGACAGTATTATCAGAAAAGCCTGGGGAAGCCCAGTTCATCTTCATTTCACATATGCAAAAGATAGTTTCTCAAGCCCAGGTAAATCTAAATGTTGCATTATTAGTCTAGATAACACTATATACAAATTCGATATAAAAATAGAATTTGAAAATAAAGAGGCTAGTGTCAAATAACTAAAGACACTAAGCTAAGGACCAGAAGTCTAGAGGGAAGTAAATTTAGTCCCTTTGTATTGCAGGTGGTGATGCTCTTGATAAATTTTAAGGACCCTCTATTTAAGTCTCCCTCCATCACATCATTAGCAGTGGCTACTATGTTTTTTCTAGTCACAGTCTCCACATCAGGCTGCTGAATAGGTCATTTATTTAGTCTGCAACCAGAGCCCATTAAAAAGGGATGCAAGTTTTAGTTTATTAAAACAGTGAATAAACATGGTGCCAAATGGTTTGTATGACTGCCTAAGACAGAGTCTTTCTGGCAATACTTGCTAGTTAAATGAATTTGTTTGGAAGACAGGTAAAGTCAGGACTCAGGGCAGAAGCATGTAAGAACTGAGTTAGAAGTTAACATCTTAATGTATGCAGATGACCCATTTTGAGGTTGATCCTTACATTTCCACAAAGGCCTCCACAAAAGCAAAGAGCTTTCTTGCCTCTATACCTGAAAACACCCATTGTATAGGAAGCTCAGAAAAACAATTTCAGCCTAATAAATTATGCCTGAAGATGTGGTACCTTCATTTCAACGGGGCATTCCAAAGTGATACACTAGACTTCTGAAGAGGAATTGAATAGAAAACAGTGTTTGGTCATGCCTACAGGCTGGTGTTCATTATCAATCCTTTCTCTTCAGATAGAAGAGAAGGTGAACAGTGGGAAAGGTTAAAAATAAAATCTGACCAATAGCTTCTGCTACACTTCTCTGTACTCCTTCAGGCAAAGGAATGTAGACTTGATACATGCATGGCGGAAACGAACTGAGCTTTGTGGTACTTGGCTGCAGTGGCCTGCTTGAACTGAGGAGCCAGGGAGGGACAGGGAAGGCAGAGACCACTAGTAGGTTGGTACAAGGCTACCATAATGGCCGAGACCAACATGGCCTACTGAGGATATCAAATATCCTTTGCTTCCCGACCATCCTGTCACTAGTCTTGTAGAATTGCTTGCTGGCATCTGCCTCTATGACACATCAAAAATTACATAGAGAGAAGAAAGGGTAAAAACTGTTCTAGGCGATCTTGATTGCTTCCTGAATTTCCTCTTTTAATTCTTGAATAATCTTCCCTTGCATTCAATCTTGCTCATAAAACAAGCTTTCTCAAATTTCCTCTGTCCACAGCCTGCACTTCCCCTTTAAGTATGTTGTTTCAGCTAATATCTTTCGTTGTCCTATCTCTAAATTCTTTCTGTGATGGTGACAAACACTTGGAAGGAGACCTCAGTGTGCTCTTTCTAGCCTGAGACTTCAAGTACTGGCAACAGGACACTAGAGGGGACAGCACTCTGGGTCATTAAGTAATTAAAGTATTTTAAAAGTAAGGCAGGGGAGAGAAGGGCCAGTTAATGCATGTGTCTTTGAGCTTCCATTCATTTAATATCAAAGCAGTATACAGCAGTTTTCTTTTAACCTGCAGGGGATTCTGTCCAAGATCTCCAATGTGTGCCCCAAACTAGGGACAGTACCCAGTATTCTATATACTTTATTCTATACATATCATAAAGGTTAATTTATAAAGTACAGTGAGAGATGAACAATAAAATAAACCAATTATAATAATGTACAGTAGTGAGAGTTATGTGAGCAACTCCAAATGCCAGAGAGGTTGGTGGTACCCAGATGGCCCATAAAGGCTAACCATTCTGCTCCTGAGCTCATCAGAGCCCGGAGCCTCCCCAGCTGTCTGGCCTGCTCGCATACTCGGGAGTACTCTCTTTATTAATAAATTACCTCTATCTCTCCCAGCCACCACAGGCCCCTGGTCCAATTCTTTGTTTCAGGACACAAGAGCCTGGAAATCTCAGGACTTTCTCTCCAGACTTTTCCGTGCCTACAGTGGCAAGAGGCGGGTAGTTTATTACACGTGGGTCGGGACTGTCTTTACACAGCTTCCATGTCTTTGGCCTCCCCTGGGGGAGACATTGGTGCTGTTACTTTTCTGCATCCTTCCCAGCATCATCTTTCCAGCATTGTCTTTCTTTTCCTGAAGCTCATCAGGAAGTCTGGGTGAACGTGAGGTATTTGATGTTTACCTGAAAGTAGACACGCAGCGCCTCAGCTTCCGCGGCCATCTCCTCCTCAGACCTCCAAAAGGCTGGGGAGTCCTCTTCCTCTTTGTCATGGTTCTGGAGCTTTGGAGGAAGAAAACAGAATAGGCTCATTAAAGAATCCTTGAGCTCTTCTTTAATAATGCTGGGGGAAGGGGAGAGACAGAGAGTGAAAATAATTTGCAAATTAGAGGCCTGTGGGTGTATCTTAATTACATTAATTGCCCAATTTTTGAAAATAAAGAGTTTCACATAAAAACTGACATTTCTTGCTTCTCTAATAACATAACAAGAGTGGGCTGCACTGGGGTTGTTGCTGCCTTGTACTTGCCTGATGAGCCTGTGACAGACTGAGGCTGTAAGGCAGAGGCTGCTGAGGGCACATCCACCACTCCACACAGCCTCCATCACCCCTTCATTTCCTTTGCTCTCCAGCACCATTTAATTATTGCTTCCTTGACTACAGTTGTCCATTGTCTCCAGCCATTCTCAGGCCTCCTTCTGGCCTGCAGTTGGTCTATCACTCTCTCTGGCTTTAGCTGTCTTATATGAGCTCCAAGTAGTTGTAAGCGCCCTGAGAAGAAGACATTCTGAGGCAAGACACTGAAGACCCCTCCTTTTGGCTATCAGACTTTTGAAAACAGTGGATTCTAAGAAAAGTGAAATTTCCAAGCAGTCCTGTGCTGGGGAGGGAAAGACTGAGGCTTTGTCAACCAGGAGAGGACTGGCCAGATTTCACCAATCCTGACCATTCAACAGCTGTACGCTTCCTGGCTTTTCGTTCATGTTTTCTATAAAGCTGCTGCCACTCTGTCACAAAGGAACTAGAGAGAAACTGAGTCTTTATTTCTGGGTCGGCCTAAACTGTAAATGAATTCTTTTTCATTCTCAATTTGTTTTCTAATTTTTTTAAGAAGTAACAGGTTTATGAATCTAAGTGTACCTGCAACAATAGAAACTATGAGAAAACAGCATAGAAAACTAACAACTTACTCAATTCAGTTTCTCCACAGACCACTCTCTCTGTCTCCATGTAAAACATATATATAATACATATTCACATATATTTACATATGTAAATATTTAAGAGCAAGTATATGTTTAAGATTAGAGTGGACAACATGTCTATTCTAGCAGAGAGCAAATTTTCAGTCGAGTTTAATCTCTCTTAATCTTCTTTTGTAATTCAGTTCTGTGACCAATCTGCCATTCCTGTGGCTTTATATGTGGCATAATAAGATGAAGGTGCAACTTGCTCACAGGATGCAGTGTAGTGATTCATGATAAGGTGACTAGGTAGATGGTTGGATAGCACTGTCCATGATGGCCAGCATGATTTGGAGGGCAGCTTCTCTGCTGCTCATATTTCACATAATCCTTACAGTTTCCTTTAATGTGAATACTACTTAAATCCATTTACCTTGAAGGGATTGGGGGGGGGGGGTGAGTCTAAGGAAATTCATTTACTCATCCAGGTAGGTAATGCCAGGTGCCAGCCTTGTTTCCTTTATCTTGGTGAATCCATAGTTACTGTCCCCATTTCATTGCATAAATACTCACACTGAACTTGGATACTTTGAAAACAACTTTGGGAGTTCAGTAAAACATGCTGATCAGGTATCAATGGGTAAGGTATAAACATGACAAGCTGATCACTGGAAACCATGGTAAAATGAAAGAAGAGAATCACTCCACACAGTTGTCCTGTGACCTCCACACACATGCTATGGCATGTATCTCTAACCCCTACTACTACACACACAGACACACACACACACACACACACACACACACACACACACACACACCACAATACTAATAAATAAAAATTTTCAACTCAAGTGGTAATATTCATTCTCGTGGGCCCCAAACCCTCAGCATAGTCCAGAGACTCCACTCTGACAGCCTGCAGCAGGTAGAGACTTCCCTCCATTTATCTCAGATCAGCTTTGATATGGAAGGCAAAATAGTACAGGAAAGATTTCCTTGCTTTTCAGCAGGGCTGAATTTCCACACACAGGAAGTCTGAGCCTAAATGAGGCTCATTAGCATAGAACTAGGCCACAAATACCTTCATGAGGGTCATGGATCTTCCTTTCAGAATTTGGCTGCCAGCACACTGGTTTTCCATTTTGCCATACAGATTTAATTCTTCTTAGTGGAAGAAAGCACATTAAGAAGTCATTTCCTTGCTGTAGAGGCAGATAGGACGCAGTTGCTACAGGCAAGTCAAATGGGATTGCTGTTCTACCCGAGAACTAATTTTCATTTTGCTACTACCTTTGGGTCTGTTGTAAATCCATCTTGTAACAGTTTGATGGGAAAGACAAGGAGCAATGCAAAAGCCAGAGAACGTGGCCTTCCCACTGTGTCACTGCCGTAGGAAGACACAGAAATCAAGCTTTAAGCAGCCATGTCAACACAGACCGTACCAGATGATTCCAAATAATTTAGAGGCTAAGAACATTAATGCTTCCTGGTTACTAGGCACCCTTCTGTTGATGTCATATGCCTTCCAGATGGCAGCACTTAGACATTGTTTACCAGAGCTAGGGAACCAATAGAACCAACTAAACATGTTTGCAAAGTTCTGTTGGACATGACTGTTAATAAAACTTTTGAGGTTTCCTCTTAAAGGCTCCAGTTGGAAGTTTGTGCTTTTGTTTAAGACAACTGAACCCTGGATTCCTGTTGTATGCACTAGAGAAACTTTAAAAGACACAGCTTACACCAAGGATTCTGATTGAATATTTTGAGATTTTGAAAAAGAAGAAAATCCCACAACTATTGAAGGAAAGATGTCTATGTATGTAGATAAGAGCTCTTACATGAACAGAAGTATGGCTATCAACTTGTATCTGTGCCATCAACTTTTCACAGGGTACCAAATTTGTTCAAGTCTCAGATATATATATATAGTATTTGCATATAACCTTTGTATATCATCTGACATGCTTTCCCACCTGTAAACTGTCTATAAATCCCAATACAACACAAATGATATGAAAATAGTCATTCCACTTGTGTTCAGTAGAGATGCCATTTCTTTTCTGCTATTTTTGATCAGTGGTTGCTTGAACCCTTAGATGACAACCCACAGACCTAGTGCTCACTGTAGCTCATCCATCTTTAAACTTACTCCTCAGGTCCTTTCAACTGTATCATGTCTGTCCTTTGCAAACCCCACTGTAGCATGGTTTTCTTTTGTTTAGTGTAAGTCAAAGAGGCTTCTGGATGGCAACATTTGTCTGAGCACCACGATAATGCTAAGTAGTTCAGGAGTTTGCAGTCTCTTCAGGAACTGAAAGACTTTGAGTTACACAGGAGGCAATATTTCTGCTTTAGTAGAGCCATGGTGGAGACTAGGAAATTAAACCTGCAGAAGTTTGTGGAAAAATTCTGAGGTTACCTAAGAACATGGTTGCAGTACTCCATTGCTATGCTAATAAAGTAGATTTCCACAATCTTAAGCAATAGCTTGCCCAAAATGCCAGTTTGACTTGAGTGAACCTTAGCTGGGAGTTTCATTTGTAAATGAACTTGAAAATGACTTTGGGCTGCAAGAAGGGAAAGGCAATGCCTACTTACTATCACAGCCAATAGTCAATCTGTCCCTGCAGTGCCAGGAACCAGCATGCTCTCCATAGTCAAAGACACCCACACAGGGAAGAATGACACTACATGGTAGATTTTCAGTGCTGTGAGATTACCAAATGGAAAGAAAGTCCAGGTCACCTTGTTGCAAAGCTTCTAGAGTCACCTAGATTTCACAAGGAAATGGTGTTATAATAATAGTGATGGTAGCCAGGCAGGATGGCACATTTAATCCCAGTCCTTGGATGGATCTCTGTGAGTTTCAGGCCAGCCAGGGCTACATTGAGAGACCCTGTCTCAAAAAACAAACAACAGAGGAGTGATGGGAGAGAGGGTGTTAGCTAAGGAGTATCCAACAAGGGCTCTCCAGGCTGATAAAGTAGAGTTTATGATTTAACACTAACAAGAACAAATTCCTTCACCTCACTTTCCGTCTCTGTAGAATGGAAGCAGGGGAGACTTGTCTGCAGTAGCTGACATAGAAAGGATGCCCACATTTGCTGTGGCTTCTGGCTGTTTCTACCATTACTATTATTAGTGTTAGGCTGTCCTTACAAGTGACCATTGACCACCCCAGCAAGTTGCTTTCAAGAATCAAAGAACCTTGCCTACTTCCATGGCTCCCTAGTGGTATCCACGTTCTGGCCCTATCTGTTCCTCCAAGGACAGAAAGTTGCAGTCAGAACTGAAATCCCTGCCAATTAATTCTAATGACACATCATGTCTAAAACAGAACTTAGACCCTTCATTTCTATAACCACACACAGTAATCCCTAGCTTCCAGGTTGCTGCAAGGAGAAGTGAGTCATGAACAGAGACGTACTACAGGAAGCAAATCAGCATCCTAGAATGAAAGCACATGGTGAAGGTCAAAGACAATCCAAACTACCCTGGGAGCACGGTAGCCATGTTTGGCATATTAAGAGTAAAACATTCAGTTAATTGTTTGACATAGCAATATTTCATGAATTATCTGGGGCCAGACTTATACAAAAAAATTGTGTGTGTGTGTGTGTGTGTGTGTGTGTGTGTGTGTGTGTGCTTTGTGTACACAGAGAAGCCGGGTGGTCAATACCAGGTCTCTTCCATTATCACTATATTTTCCCAAACTCTCTCTCTGAACCTGAAGCTTGCTGATTCACCTAGACTGGTTTACCAGACAAGACCCTGGAATGGAGAGTATGGTGTACGGTGCCATGCCCAGCTTTCCCCTGGGTGCTGGGGACCAAACTCAGATCCTCAGGTTTATGCAGCAAACACTTCACTCACAGCCATTTTTCTAGCCCTCTGTGTTTTTACTTAGTGAAATTCAAATCTAAATGGCCTTCCATAGCTGATCTGGTAAGTCACCTTAGGAGACTCTTAGGAAATTGCCACAGAAAGACTATGATCTACAGTGGATAACTGGGTTGTCCCAAACCTCTTCAGCTATGGACTGTTGTAGGTGGCAGACTACATAAGCATCAAATTCAAGAATAGCATTATATGTG